GTGGTTTCAGTTAAGCTGCCCCAATTAAAATAAAAATAGATGAAACTTTTTTAATGATGGGTTTGTAAGTCATGGTCCCAGCCATGGGACTGACTGCTTTGGAAACAGTTGTTCTATAAGTATAGCTCTAGTTATAAATGTTTGAGATAGGAAATGGAAGACTTAATATTATTAGGTAGCTCTGGCAATTGTAGGCACTACTTTGGTAGTAGAAAACCTTTAGGCAGCCTTTGGCAGTGGAAAATATGCTAGAAAATGCATGAGACAACTTTCGGTAAGTTTTAGTCTTCTGACCGTTTTTTGCCTTTAAAATATAATTTTTTTTTGTGATGGTAGAAGCATTATTTACATCCAATTACCCTACATATTAATAATCTGCTTTCTATGTGACAAGATATATTTTCTGTCCTGAAGAGCAGGTAAGCAGCAAGAAAGAAGTGACAAAGAGCAAATGACAAACAAGTTCTGGGAAAAAACATCTAATAAAACACCTAATAAAAAGGACAAAGAAACCCATGAAATGCTATTGTTGTTTTAGGTTTTACTAATTAAATCAATCACAAGGAATCAACAGATAAAACTGTTAATTACAGAGGTTGGAATGAGCTAAGACTAATAGACATTAAAAAATTATATAACCTTCACAACTGAATGGCTGAAGTTTAGAGTCAAACTCTCCAAATATTGAAGGGATAGAAAAAATCATTAGTCCCTTAGTTTTCATTTAACTTAGATAAGAACATTCAAATTTTCCATTGTGATTCCAGTTTCTGCTTAAAATCTTGTTTGAAACCAGATAACTCTCTTCCTAATTACAAATATATCCAGACACTAAAATGACTGGGACTTTATGCAGACACTCTTATGACAACTTCCATAGTGTACTCATTGTACTGCATTTCACATAGGAACTTTTGAAAGATCATGCACTAGTTAAATAGTGCCATAAAGTTAATTTTAGTTGGGTGAATATGAAGCAGCAAGATGAGATAAGGAATGTGATTAACCCAGCGCAGCCTCATACTTTCAATCCTTCCCAAGTGTTACCTCATGATTACTAAATAGCTTTCCTAGCTGTGATTTTTCTCCCCTAACAGTTCTAGTCTGAAAAAACTTATGTCAAACTGTTGTAAAAAGATGAGTTTAGCAGTTTGAAATACTGAACAGCAGTGCAGAACAGTGTGTTTCATACAAATTAATCCATTTTGTAGCGATAATCTAACAGCCAATCAGAATTCTCCCTTAATCCAAATAGTTTTATAATGCACTTTAAATCATCAAAGTTCAGGTACTTTACACTATTTAAATGAAAAGTAACAAGGAAATTTAATCTTAAGATTATGAAGTATTTATAGCAGTGGCTAAGAGGTATCACCTAGCAACAACATGGCCCACAGAGTAAATCTAATAAACTGCAGCTCATCCTTTCTGTCATAAATGATCAAATAATCAAGATAGGAAAAGCACAAGTAGTGATGACATTGAGAGAATCTAATGATAAAGTACAGGAGCATTTTCGAGACAAAGAGTGTTTTTAGATAACGGAATATAGTTTTCACAATAATTAGAATAAGGCAAAGCTGGACTTCAGCGACAGTAAGCTAAATAGAAATAAAAGTTTGAAGTGAGGGGGAGGAAAACTGGAGGAAGAAGATAAACCATTAAACATGACAGAGATAGTGATTTCAGAGAAGTAAATAAAATAAGATGCTGTCAAGGCATCTTTACTTGGCTGACTTCTAAAGAAGAAGGGTAGAGAGATTAAAATTTTATCAGATAGTTTAGGAGATTACGGTAGTTGCAACTTAAAACATAAAAGCTACTTTGCTGGGCCTCATGCAATTCAGCAGGATATAGTTGGGTCAGAATTGATATCAGCAAGGCATTGAGGATAAGTTTGAAGTTATCACACTGTAGAAAGGAGAAAAGTTCAGCCCAAGATTTACAATAAGTAAAAAAAATAAAAGCCTTGCACCAGGATTTTCAGCAGATAAAAAAATGCATTAGAAATGTATGTAATTACAGTTAAGCACTTGTCATCATTTTGGAAAGGTGGTATTTACTCAGGCTTATACTATAAAGAGACATCTCTGATTTTTTCCTTTTGAGTCTGTGGAATGAATTCCATATGCAGGTTCACTGAAAATAGGGGACCTTTCTGTTTGAGGGTATTTCATATCCCACAATAAAGATATCTGCAGGATCTCAATTGATCAAATAATGGTAAAAGCACATATTCATAATCACAAGAAATAGTATATGCTACATAGCCCTTCAAAGCACTGAATTTCCTCTTTTTTATATTCAGCATAAATCAGTCAAATGAATGACAGTAACTCTGTCTAATTATAACTTGAATCATTGGTCCCTGACAAAATGCTTTTGAAACTCCTGTATGGCTAGGCTTGTCTGAAAATTCTGCAATAAGTAGTGTTCCATGTCAGTGTCAATGCTAGTGTTTGAGCTAGCTGGCCAGAGGTCTTTGGAGAGCCTTGTGGAGAACTCTTCTCTCCCTGTGGTCAAGAAAGAAGTGGATATAAAAAACCCAAAATATAAAATGAAGGGAAAGGAAGGGAGAAAGGAAGTACTATCTTATTTTTACCATACTTTCCTCATCACAAGCATATAATGTAATTATTTAAAACAAAGTCAGTTTATTTCAACTAATTTATCAGTCAGAAACAGTATTCCCATATTCACCCAATGTGAAGATATATAAGATTTTAATAAGAATATAATTAATATATAAGAATATAGTATATAATATGTCATACTTTATACATGGAATAGTTTATCCATGTTAGAAAAAAATAAGAGCTGTTCATCAAGAACTACACTCTTCCTTAAAGCAAAGACTTAATTAGTTCTTTGGTATAACAGGATCTGTAACTGACTGTTTTGCATAGGATAAGAGAGAATTAAAATATTATTTAACACTTAGAACTTGAGTCAGTTGGTCATATATAGACGTCTAATACCATTTGACAACATGAAAACTCTCTAAATCCCAGATCCAACCTTAGAAGTGTATAAGTTTCCTACATGCATTGTAGTATCTGTCACCCCATGCTGATACCTTGTTTACCCAGGAGTATCTTAAAAAATGTGTGGCCAAATGATTTAAGCCTCAGTTTCAGCAGTTTTAAAATTAATATTTAATCCCCAAAACAGACCCAAGAATTTTTTAGAGGCTAACTTACCATAGCGAAATGGAACATAGCATTACCCAGAGCCAGAAGTTATCTTTAATCATTAAAAATAAAGACTCATATTGCTCTGCAGTGACAATTGAATCTGAAGTAATGGTTCAGTATCCCTCATCATCCTCTTAGCTACTGCATAGACATATTAGGAACTTCTGTCTTTCATTTTAAAGAGCTGTTGTTTTTTACAGCACTTCTACTGTGCAGACCCAGAGCTGCTTTAGTTTGTTTAGCTCATTATCTTGCTTTGATAAAAATACAGATTGAATTTTTTTTCTGCAAAAGTAGCTTGTTGGAAGAAAAAAACAGTGCATACCAACAGAATCTGGAACCACCACAAAATGCCTCCAAACCTGCACACAGTTGGAGGGTCGTATCATTTACTGAAGATACCTTTATGAGGTACAGATAACCAAAAAGTAAGAAAATAAATTCCCTTCTTATCTAGAGTGGGGTAAACCCACTAGTTCTGATTTCTGTGAGAATTTTGGGTAGACTCTGGAATGGCCATGCAGAAGATGAATTCATAATCTCCGAAGATGGCACAGGATACAAGAAGCTGTTCTTGTTTCACGGACCAAATTATAGGTAAAAACAAAAGGAATAGCCAATCAGTTTGCAGAATAAATGTGGTCATACTGATTGTGCAAAATGAGACCAGGCAGACAGTAATTAAGCTTACAAAACTGGTTAGGAGGGCACATTGCCATCTTCTATTATCTGTTGAACAGAAATCTGTCAGTACAAAATGGGATTTTGTTCAAATATGCAATGGTAGTAACCTTGTAATTGTTGCATAAATGCTATATGAATAGGGGATGTCAGACAGCTCAGACATAGCTTCAGTTTCTGAAATCTGATTTGAACCAATCTTACTAATTCAGTATGCAATTTTGAGATATTATACAAGGCAGTATTAGATCCTTTGTCTCTTCTCTCCCTTCCTCCTTTCCCTGCTTTTAGTAGAGTGAAAATTTTGCAGTGAATATATGAAAATCAGTGAAGTAGAAGCATCTACAATTCTATATCAAATACCAATCTTATTGCTGATACTAATGTGAAACAACTACGTTGCTTCTTTTTGTTGCTATGTTTGAACATCTAACAGCTATTTATAGGATGTAAAGATAACAAGACAGAGGTCCTGTATATGAAGTGTCTGGGTATTTAAGGTTTCCTGAAAAAAACAAAAAAAAGTACTATGTGATTCATAAAACTCAAGAAGCTCATATGGAGTAAAGAGGTAATAGTATAAATTATGCACATTTTGCATCAATGTCCACTTTATAGCAACCAAAAAGGAGTCTGTGCTGCTTATTTTAGGAGAATATCCAGTAAGCTGGGTTAAAAATGTCTTTCCTTTAAGTTTTGATTAGTATAAGTTTTCAATATCATACTTGATAAAAATAATCCAGGATAAGAAAAGCTCATTAATGATTTTCTAAATTACAGTTTGTTTACTTGTTTGTTTTTAACTGATTCTTACATTTGGGGAAAAATTCCTTTCAGTTTCTCCAAGAAAATAGCCATAATTAATTCAGTCAATTCTAAAGGTCACAAATTATTTTTACTACAGGTAGGTATTTTTCTTTGCTTTTGAATATCCATTCTGGTTTTCTCTCATATTTCCATCTGTCTGAATGGCAGATCCCTGTGGCACAGGACCTAGTACAAGACCCGTCACTAGTGGTTTCCCCCAAGGTTCAATACTTAGTCCAGTATTCTTTAACTTATTCATCAATGACTTGGATGAAGGAATAGATGCCTCCTCAGCAAGTTAGCTGAAAACACAAAGCAGGGAGGAGTGATCAATACCCCAGAGGGCTGTGCAGCCCATCAGAAGGACCTTGAGACGTTGGAGAGGCGAGCAGAGAACTGTCTGAAACTAAAGTGCTGTGTCCAATTCTGGGCTCCTCAGTACAAGAGAGACATGGAGCTCCTGGAGCGGGCCCATCAGAGGGCAACACAGATGATTAAGGGACTGGAGCATGTCTCCTACAAGGAAAGGTTGAGGGAGCTGGGCCTGTTCAATTTGAAGAAGAGATAACTGAGAGAGGACCTCATCAATGTCTATCAGTATCTGAAGGGAAGGTATCAAGAGAATGGAGCCAGGCTCTTCTCAGTGGTACCAAGCAATAGGACAAGAAAGAGGCAAAGGGCAGAAACTAATGCACAGGAAGTTCCACCTGAATATGAGGAAGAACTTCTTTTCTGTTCAGGTGACCAAGCACTGGAACAGACTGCCCAGAGAGGTTGCGGAATCTCCTTCACTAAAGATATTCAAAAACCCTCTGGATGTAAACCTTTGCAATGAGCTCTGGGATGACCCTGCTTGAACAGGAAAGTTGGAACAGATGACACGCTGTGGACCCTTCCAACCTGACCCATTCTGTGGTTCCCTGTCACTCTTCATCTTCCATTATTTGTAAAGGGGCAGTTTATTGTTCAATTTAGCACAGAATGTTTGTATTTTATTTTAAAATTTATTGCACTGCATTCCCTGTATTATAAATTATTAAAATGCAATTATTTATCGAGGTTCTCAGAGAGTAAGGAACCCTAGAAACATTAATGATTATGTTATTTAGAAAACACAATGGAAGCAAACCCTCCTTCATCTCTAACATTCATTCATAACAGCACCTTTTTGATTATTCCCCAAAGATTACTGCCAAAAGTCCCCTGTATTTTTGATGGTTCTTAAGGTCATGGTGCTTCAAACTTGTTAATCAACATCCAGATTTAGTACTCACCCAGATTAATCATACTTGTAAAAATTAGGTGCTTAAAACTCTGATAACATGAATAAGGGCACACTAAAAAAAGTACATAACCCCTCCAAAAAGACAGAGCATTGCTTAAACTCTTACACCTCTTCAGGACTTGAATCCTGTACGTTTTCTGAAAAGACTGAACCTGCATCTCCCAAGAGAATGATCTAAGCTATAAATTTGAGTCATACTTACTCTTGAATTTATTTCATCTTCTGTTTTAAAGTTGGTCATATTGAATAACTGGACATATTTTTTGAAACTCTCAGACACAGAGATTGCAATGACATCATTTAGGCTCTGTGGAAATCCTCTGAAGCTAAAATACTGAGTAGAAACTGTTTAAAGGAGGTGCTATATTTTTGGAAGCCCTAAATTGAAATATTCTCAGAGCATTTTTTATCAGATCAGACCATGTTAATAGCAGACAGGAAGAAAAATGTGTTTTTTATGACTTCTGATGGTCTTCAGGGCAAATTAGATTCTAAACACCAAAACGTATATACAGGAGGGGAATTTTAGGGTCCTAAGAAACTTCTGTGTCAGAAGCTGCGGCCACTGCAGTCTTCAGGTATTTCTGAGGTCAGCTGGAATGTATGAGTCAATTCTGCATTCAGATATCTAATCCTTCTAAGGTAGTAACAAACATGAGTAAGTTATTAGAGGGATCTGGACTAGTCAGTAAAAGAGAATCAGTACCCCACACATGTGCAGCTGCTATATAGATTTCTAAAAGCCAACTACAATTTTTCATTCTTTGAAAGGAAAAATAGAAGTTTATTCATACTTTAGGGTTTCTGCTTATAACAAATGTGAGCTTTATGTATGCAAGGGCAGTGAAAAGCATAGAGGAATTCCTAATTTACCTTCCTATGAAGTCCTGACAATAAGCTTCTGCTAGATATAGTGTACAGAAAGGAGACAGATGATGTATAAATTATAATAAAATATGCCAGTGTAACCTGTTAGTGTATTGTAATGATGTTAGTATACACACAGATAAAGTGATCTCCAGATTTGGAGTTAAAAGAGGGATTTTTCCTCTTGTCATGCTGACAGGGGTTTATATTTTACTGATACTGGATATTTTCCATGTGCTTTATTCACAGAAGCACCAAGGTTCGAAGAGACCTTCATAATCATCTAGTACAACTGTCAATTTAACACCACCATAATCACCCCTAAACCATATCCCCAAGTGGCACATCCAGACACCTCTTGCACACTTCCACAGACAGTGACTCCACCACCTCCCTGGGTAACTTATTCCAATACATAACCACTTTTTCAGTGACAATACTTTTTCTAAAAGCTAATCTGAACCTCCCCTGGCACCACTTAAGGTCATCTCCTCTTGTCCTTTCACTTGAGACATAGCAGAAGAGACCAACCTCCACCTCACTACAACCTCCTTTCAGATAGCTGTCGAGTGGAATGAGGTCACCTCCAGAGCCTCCACTTCTCCAGATTAAACAACCCCAGTTCCCTCAGCTGCTTCTTATAACATGTGTTTTTTTCACCAGCTTTGTTGCCCTTCTTTGGACACACTCCAGCACCTCAATGTCCCTTTTGAAGTCAGTGGCCCAGAACCGAACACAGTACTCAAGGTGCAGCTACACCAGTGCCAAGTACTGAGAAACAATCACTTCCCTAGCTGTGCTGGCCACATTATTCTTGATACAGGCCACGATACCATTGGCCTTCTTGGCCACCTGGGCACACTGCTGGTTCATATTCAGCCAGCTGTCAAACAGCATCCCAAGTCCCTTTCTACCGGGCAGCTCTCAAGCCACTTTTACCCAAACCTGTAGCAACCCAAGTGTAGCACCGGGCCCTTTGCCTTTTTAAACCTCACACAATTCTCTTCAGCACATTGATCCAGCCTGTCCAGATCCCTCTGCAGAGTCCTCCAGCAGAACAACACTTCTGCTCAAATCAGTGTCATCTGCAAACTGACTGGAGGTGCACTCCATCCCCTAGTTCAAATCATCGTGGACTTAGTGCCATGGTCTAGTAACCACAGCAGTAGTGGATCAAGGGTTGGACTTGATGATCTCGGAGGTCCCTTCCAACCCAGTTGATTCTATGATTCTATGATCAATAAAGATATTAAATAAATCTTGATTGAATGGACTGTGGTAAACACCAAGCACAAGCTTGCCCTTGTTGCCTCAGTCTCTAATTCTTACCTATAACCTTTCAACCTGCTTGTGGCTGCTCTTTAGACACAGTTGTTCAAAATCTATTCATTTCTCGATGTAGAGGGCAACCTCTCTGCCCCTCCTTTGTGGCCTATACCTTCTGAAAAACTTGTAGACATTGATAGTCACATTCCAGCCATGGGATTTATCACACCAAGTTTCAGTAATGACAACTAGGTTGCAGCTTTAGGACAATATGGTGGCTTTCAACTCCTCTTGGTTGTTGCCCATGCTGTGTGCATTTGTGTAGAGGTACTTCAGATGGGCTGTCAGCCATACCACCTTCTTAGAGGACACCTCTTAATTCCTTTGGGGTATTTCACTGGTGTTCCCCTGTGGACTCCTCTTACTTCAGGAGCCCTTGTATCATCTCTGTAAGTGATGATATACATCTTCAAGTGTGCTTCAGTGTACCCAGCAAGTTTCAGAGCAACAGGCTGAGGGGCCTCAATAACAGCTTGTCACAGGTGGCTCTGATATTATCCTATTCCCCTTCAAGTCTATTTTAATGCTCTGCCAATGAGCATTAATTGGTGAAATGAACAAAGTGAACAAGGACTCTCTTCCTCCTTTGAGATGCCAACTGACCTAATGCTGTGTAGGTCATCTCTTTATCAAAAACTCCAGAATTCTGGCTCAGCCAGAGACATGTATTAAAGGGCTCAGCCAGAGACATATATTAATGGACAGTGTTCATCTACTTCTTTCAATATTGGTGCCCACAACTGGGAAGATAGAGGAAAAATAAACTAAGCTCCAGATTCCCTTACCAATCATCCCAAGGCACTGAAGTCTCTTTTGATTGCCCTTAGACTGTGCATTGCATCTTCATTGCCAAACACATAGAAGAGCAATAATGCGTAATAACCTGATGGCCATCTCAGGCTGAAAGTTTCCTAGTGATGTTTTTAGCCCGGGCCCTGCTGAAGACACAGTAGACACCCTCAGAAGGAAGTAGTAATCTACAACTATAATCCATCTTTTATTCCTTGTGAAGGTTGTCATGATACATGGGGTAGGCTTTTTTGACCTTGACAGCAAGGACCATCATCTGCATCATCACCTGACTGACCTTCCACATCCAGATCCTCATAATTGTTGTATAGAGGTAGCCGGGAAGGCAAGGAAAAAAGGAAGGCAAGGAGAGGATTCATCTGCTGCCCTGTGTATGGACTTGACTCCATTGACTCCTCCCTTTTAAGCTACTGTCTTGTGCCTGGTGGAGGGAAGATAGAGGATCCCCTTGAACTGCATTTTTTTCTGGTGGATGTTACTGTTTCTGTCTTAGGAAGGGCACAGCATATTTTCAGCACTCCAACAACAGCAGGTCAGATTGTGATACTGCCAAAAAGATGGGTTGCTCAGATTTCAGTCAGAAGTGACTTTTTAGATGCATTACTGAAGCAACTACTGTTTATCTCCTATGAAAAGGAAAATTGTGGATCTGATAAAGCTAGAGGTAACTACAATATAAACCCAGAGCTTCAGAGGAAATATCCACCCTTCTAATGACTATAGAAAACTATATTTCCAATTTCAGGAATTACATCCTCCCCCAAATCTTAGAAATTAATTACAAAGCATATTGTTTGTAATTTTGTATTCCACGGTATAATTAAAGCAAGTGAAAATGTCAGAACATCTTTTCAGAAGTACATACAGAACCCTCTCCATCAGAAGACCAAGCCCTGGAAATTCTTCACATCAGCAATGTGATATCTTTCATTGATTAGCTCGGCTGCTTAGAGGATGGTGCTGAAAACACCAAGGTCACGGGTTTGATCCTCATACAGGGCATTCACTTAAGATTGGGACTTGATGTTCATGTGAGTCCCTTCCAACTCAGAATATTCTGTGATTCTGTGAATTGATGGATTGAAATTCGGGGGTTTAAGGATAAAAAATCTGGAAGA